GACCCCCCCCCCACGCACCGCCAGCAAACGACTCCCGGTCCCTACCACCGCTCGCATCACATCCCCCACTGTTGTTCCCAGCACCACTGTCCTCACCACCACTGTCCCCACTGGTTCCACCACCGTCCCTATTGTCCCCACCAATGCCCCCACCACTGTCGCACTGTCCCCACTGTTCCCACAACTGTTCCCACCACGGTTCCACTCTCCCCACTGTCTCCACGGACCCAACCACTGCCTATCCCCATTGTCCCCACTGTCCCACTGACTCCTCCGCTGTCCCACTGAGCTGTCCCACTGTTTCCACCACTGTCCCCACTGTCCCCACCACTGTCCCCACTGTACCTCTGTCCCATTGTCCCACCGCCGTCCTCGCCACCGCCTTTACCAGTGTCTCCACCACCATTGTACCCTCCACTGTCCCAGTGTTTCCACCTCATTCCCACTGTCCCCACACCACTGTCCCCACCACCACCGTTCCCACCACTGTCCACTGTCCCCCCTGTTCCCACCATTGTCCCCACCACTGTCCCCACCACTACCGTCCCCACCACTGTCCCACTGTCCCCCCGCTGTCCCCACCACTGTCCCGCTGTCCCCTCACCACTGTCCCCACCAACACCGTCCCCACCACTGTCCGCACCCCCACTCGGTTTTCGAGGGGGGGGGGGGGGTTCGAACCGGTAGTGACCCCCCCCCCTTTTCATGATGAGCTGGGGGGGGGGGGGGGAGGGGTTCGAACCGGTAGTGACCCCCCCCGGTTTTCCGGAGGGGGGGGGGAGGGGTTCGAACCGGTAGTGACCCCCCCCGGTTTTCCGCCAGCAGCGGTAGAACACGCTCTTTCGAATCCCGAGAACGATGTTTTGGCACGCCACAGGGTCTTCAAACGGTTGTCTTCCAACAGAGCAGTTTCTTTAGTGGAAATGAGCCCTTGTAGGGGACTGTGAAGAGGGAGCTTGGAGGGAGGGTTTATTCCAACATCGTTGATGACTCTTGGGTTTACACTGGTCCTCCTCCTCTTCTCCTCCTTTTCCTCGTCCTCCTCCCCATTCCTTGTCTTGCATCGAATTTCTCCCTGCGCTCCCCGAGGCAAGTTTTCAGGCCGGGCCGAACGTTTCGCTTCAAGTTGTCTCACCTGTGTGACCCTGAAGCTTAACAAATGCCAACAGCTTCACAGATGGAGGGCGGCTGGTTTTCAACATGTGAATCTCGCCTGAGCACCGCGCACATTCTTTTTGAAATTTTGCAAGAGTTTCACGGATTGAGGACCGATGCTTTTCAGATGTTTGTCAGTAGCGCCGCGTGCATTCGTTTTTTTTTCAAAATGCGAGAGCTTCACGGATTGAGGGCGGTTCCTTTTCAAAATGCGGTTTTCGCTTAGCGCCGCGCACATTCGATTTTAAGAGCTGCAAGAGTTTCACGGATTCCCATGATCAGCGTACCAGGAATTGTGTTTTGGAAGGGCTCCCGATCATGATGGCGCAACAGATACGTTGATTCGTGGTGTTGAAGTCCGCGGAATGGTGCTCTGGCACGACTCAGGATCGTCAAAACGCAACCGTCAGGTTGTTCCGTGGCGTTGGAATCCCGAGAACGATGTTTTGGCATGCTTCAGGGTCGTCAAACAGTTGTCTTCCAACGGGGCACTTCTGCCCCCAGTGGAAATGAATCGTTGTATGGGGCCCATGCAGCGGGAGCTTGGAGGGAGGGTTTATTCCAACATCGTTGATGACTCTTGGGTTTACACTGGTCCTCCTCCTCCTCCTCCTCCTCCTCGTTTTCTGCCCCCCTCCTCCTCCTCCTCCTCCTCCTCCTCCTCCTCCTCCTCGTCCTCCTCCTCGTCCTCCTCCTCCTCTTCCGCCTCTTCCCCCCCGTCCTCCTCCTCCTTTTCCTCTTCCTCCTCCAATTCCTCCTCATCCTCCGCGTCCTCCTCCTCATCATCATCATCATCATCATCATCAGCATCAGCATCAGCATCAGCATCAGCATCAGCATCATCCTCTTCTTCGATCCTCCTCATCCTCCCGAATCCTCTTCTCCCTCGATCCTCCTCCACGCCCCGATCCTCCCCCTCATCCTCCCCCGCTCTTCGTCATCATCATGATCATCGTCCTTATCAGCAACAGCAGCAGCATCATCAGTATCATCGTCCTCGTCCCCGTCCTCCTCCTCCTCCGCATTTCCATCCTGCCACGCATCCCGGCTCCACTGCCTGGTGTTGCCAGGGGCCGAGCAGCGGCTGTCGTGAGATAGCGCCCCGTCCCCGCATGGGAGCAGAAGGAGGGTTTAGGCTGCTCGAAGTTGTTAGTGCTTGCTGGAGTCTCCAGAGGCTTCGGGGGACTCAGTGGACCCCCCCGATGCTTCCGAGTCCACTCCTGGGAGGATTTCCGGAGCCTTCGCGAGAGGGGGTGGGAGGGGGCTCCAGGCAAGCCGCAAGCCCCCGTACCCCTCCGTTCTTTGCCTGTCGCCTTCCTGCCACTGCCCTGCCCCCCCGCCCCAGGGCAGCAGTGGCTCTCGGACAACGCGTGCCTCGTGCGCGCCGTGGCCGGGAGGGGGGCGGGCCGCGAGAAATAGAGGGAGAAGCTAAGTGCGCTCGCGCCATATCTGGCATCCCGCCCTTCCCACCCATCCCTTCCCATGGGCGAGGGACAGAGGAAAGGAGAGCACGGGCACCGGACGGCAGGGGACGGGCACAGGATGGGAGGGGCGGGGAGCGGGAGGGGCGAGGGGACGTCCTGAGGGAGGGGGGGGGCGGGGACGGGGAGGGGGAAAGGGATGAGTCAAGCTAGGCGCGCTCTCGCCACATCTGCCAGCCTACCGCTCCCATCCCTTCCATTGCGCGGTGTTTTCTCGAGCCGCCGACGCGTGTCGTAGCGGACCTGGAACTCCAAAGGGGACCCCAGCGTGTTACGCGCGATCGGAGAAACAAGGAAGCTGCGTGCATTGGAGGAGCTGGTGGCGGATGAGCAAGAGGATGAGGAGGAAAAGGAGGAGGACGAGGAAGGAGGAGGACGAGGACGAACGGCAGCAGCAGCTGGTGGAGTGGAACGAGAGGCAGGAGCAGCAGGACTAGAAAAAGGCGGAGGAGGGGAAAGGGGGCGCGACAACCATACGTAGCACCCCGCAGTTGCAGATCAGAGTGAGGGGCGGCGGCGGGGACATCGGCAGTCTGCGAGGCTCTGAAGAAGCACGCCGCTGGTGCCTAATTTTTACAAGTTGTACAATGAGCTAGCCGCAGGCGCAGATATTCCCCAATTAGGCGTGCCTAAGGGCTTCCTGTTTGGTTACAGGTTGGTGCCTCAGGGGCTTACTCTGCCCGGTTCCCGGAAATTCATTGGGTTCCGCGGGTTCCCCGGGTTCCCCGGATGTTTCATGTCAGGCAATGCCGAGCAATGCCCCCAGGCGACTCATGCCAAGCAAAGCCAAGCAACGCCAAGCAATGCCAAGCACTGCGCCCATGCAATAGGAAGCTTTCCCCTACTTGGGGTCGCGCCGGGCTCATTTCCGTTAAAGCAATGTGGGTGGTCGCGGGGTGGGTCGCGGGTGGGTCGCGGGTGGGTCGCGGGCCAGGTCGCGGGTGGGTCGCGAGTGGGTCGCGAGTGGGTCGCGGGTGGGTCGCGGGCTGATTGCGGGTGGGTCGCGGGCCGGGTCGCGGGTGGGTCGCGGGTGGGTCGCGGGTGGGTCGTTGGTGGGTTGCGGGTGGGTCGCGGGTGGGTCGCTGTCGGGTCGCGGGTGGGTCGCAGGTGGATCGCGGGTGGGGTCGCGGGTGGGTCGCGGGTGGGTCGCGGGTGGGTCGCGGGGTGGGTCGTTGGGGGGGGGACGACGGCAACAAAAACAGCAACAACAACACAGCAACAACAACCACAACAACAATAGCAGCAGCAGCAACCACAACAACGAATTACAATAACGATAACAAGCGCAACAACAACAACCTCAATCTAAAACTCAATAGCAACAGCCAGCATAACAATACCGAGATCAACAACAATACCAATAACAAGAACAACAACAAAAAACAGCAACAACAATAACAATCCGAACTGAAGAACCTCACTGCAGCCACGCGCCCTGGGTCAGTGAATGACCGCTCGGCCCTCTCATTCTGATAATAGGATTCGAATCCAGAAGAGAGGCCCGTACTGGGGCGAGAAAGCAACTGTTGAACGACCAGAGCAACGCGTCGGTTCGACAACGAGGCCCACGCTGCTGCGGGAGCACAGTTTTGAAACACCGAAGGCAATCGGGAAAAAAAAACAACAGAAGCTCATTGCTTCAACTCTTGCGTTGCGTGTAACAAACAGTTCACACGCGGAGAGGGCCGGTTATCTTCCGGATGGAGTCAGGGGAGAGAGGAGAGAGTGTTATTCAGAATGGGTAGCTGTTAAGGGGAGGGGGAGGGCGGCCGCTGGACGGGGAGGGGAGAGCGGATGAGTCAAGGGGGGAGGGGGAGGGACGCGGGGGCCTGCACCGAGCGGCGTCGCGACACTGCGGGCGCCAGCGTCGTTCGCCTCCTCGCGAGAAGCATCACTCTGCAGCCCGAGCCGGTACGTCTTGTTTGCGCACTGCCTGTTATCTCGACGGCCATGCAAAGAAACGATAGTCAAGGCGCTGAAATAAGGAATAATTTGTGTTCGACAGGGGCTCAATCCCCCTGAGGTCCTTCCATGATTGTTTCTTCAGCCATCCTCGTGCACGCTGGCGCTTGTGTTCCCAAAAAGATCCGCTCCTTATAGCCCGACTGCAGATTGTTCCCCACATCCTCCATCCCGCCATCCCGCCATCCCGCCATCCCGCCTCGCCTTCTCCTCGTCCACTCACGAAGGAAGGCTCCACGGCTACACCATAATTTGCCAGCGTGGACCCCGTAGGGGGAGGTCTTGCACCTTGGCTGTGTCAGCAACGTGGCCGGACGCAAGCTATGCGGGCTGCAGGCAATGTGATGCAGCCTACGTGTGGTGAAAATCTCATGGTGCAAGCAACGCGGTCTAAGCATTGTGGCGCAAGCTGCCTGTGGTGCAAACTACGGGGTGCAGGCCACGCGGCGAAAGCCACGTGGCGAAAGCTGTACTCTGCAAGCCTCTGCAGTGCGAGATCTGCGGTGGAAGCAGAGCGGTGCACGCTTCGGTGGCGCACGCAGCGCGGTGAAAGCAGCGCAGGGGCCCCCACGAGGCGCCCACGGCTGCCCACCGGGCGAAGCGTCGACACGTCCGGGCACCGCACGGGGGCGCCCACGGGGCGCCCCGCGGCCGCCCAGCGAGGGAGGCCTCGACACACCCATGCAATGACTTCGGGTCGCGGAGGTAAGACCTAGGAGCAAGCCCTGCTTGAGGAATGGCAGCGTTTCTCATCTCTCATGTCGTGCTGGCTTGGGTGGGAGCCTTTTCTTGTTTCCGAGGATGGGTCCGAGTTGCCTGTCGCTCTGGGTGCTTGCACGGTCTGATTATGTTACCGAAGAAAAGGTTGTCTCGCTGGTGCGTTCGCCCCATGTCATGATCACCTGGGGACCCCCGTCCCGCGGAACGACGTTGTCGCCGCAGCGGCGGAAGGTTGTCTGCATTTCTGCACGAAAGTAGACCGTTTCTGACGTATTTGAAAAATTGTGTTCTCGGTGGTCCATCCGTCGAATTTTGTCGGATGCGTGGCGCAAGTATTCACAGGGGAGCATCCGCCCAACGGAACCACGTTGTCGCCGCAGTTGTGGCAGTGGTGGTCGCACTCTCGCATCAGTGAAGTTGGTGATTCCGTTGCGTGGTGTGCCACATGTGTAAATTCCTTCCGGTCTCCAAGGGAGCGGCGCTCTCGCCGCAGCGTTGACCGTAGCCCTGCATCAGTTGGACAACGGTCCCGACAGAGAACACCCTCGCCCTCCCCATCCTCCCCTCCCTCATGCCCTCCCAGCTCTTGATTCCCCGGGTGGAGGTCGTAATTGACTAGTTCGACCGTTCTGGACCAAAGCCTCTCCTGACACACGACTCTGCGAATTGAGAGGGGTGCAAAGAAGTGGGATGTGTTTGTTTGGTTCGGTTTGTTCATCCTCCTCGTCTTCGCTTTCCTCCTCCGCCTCCGCCTTGTTGTCCCCAGGACCATATCATAGCCCTTGATCGGGAGGAGGAGGAGCAGCAGCAGCAGCAGAAGGAGTTCGATTTCTGGTAGGCCGCCGCTCTCCCGGAATTCGCCGCGCCGATTTGCGCGAGCCCCAGGCTCGGTCGGTATCGGGCGGCGGCCAGACAACGCCTTTGCCGCGCACCCACCTACAGTGGAAACCCGTACCGAGAAACACCCTGCTTGCCTCCAGGGTGCCCTGGGTTTCTTGGTCTTCGATGGCTCTGCTATGGAAGGCGTGACGTTCCCACATCACCAAGATTATGATGTTCCAATCTACTTTAGCCTCGATCACCAGAAATTATTTCGAGTACCAGGAAAATACCGAATCGTGAAAGTTTTCACGTGTCGGGCCCTGTGAGGCGATACTCGTTCGACATTGTTTCGACACCTTCCTGGGTGCTCGAAATCATTTCTGGGATGTGGTCCTTAAGTACGATGGGAGCAACGCACCGAAAATCAATGGACGCGGTGGGGTCTCAGGGTTGGGTTCCTTGTGGAAGGGTTCTTGTGGTCGAGCTCCTACTGCACACTTGAGCTCACTTCCGAAGTTTGCGGTGCCGCCCCTCGGGGACGGGCCCTCGTTGGCCACGGCTGGGCGCAGCTCGAGAACCCCAGGCAAGGCGGCGCTTCCCACGAGGGGGCCGCGGGACGGTCTAGAAGTGGCCCATGGCCAGAAGTTGTGTTCTCGGTCTGCGGCTTCGGCGTCATGGAGGGTGACTGCATGGCACGGAACGCATGGCCACGGCTGGGCGCAGCTCGAGAACCCCAGGCAAGGCGGCGTCTCCCGCGAGGGGGGCCGCGGGACGAATTAGAAGTGGCCCATGGCCAGAAGTTGTGTTCTCGTTCTGCGGCTTCGGCGTCATGGAGAGTGATTGCATGGCACGGAACGCATGGCCACGGCTGGGCGCTGGATTTCAGCAAGAGTCCATCAGCTCTGCGGCTGCTGCTACCAGTCAGGAGTTTCCCGTGCGGCTTTCGTTTGTTGCCCAATGTTGTATGCCATCTGGAGTTTGGAATCAGAAAGCAAAAGCTAGGATGAGCACCCCATTAATACCAGCCCGCCGCCATGCGTTTGATCTGGATGTTTTTCTCACGCGTGTACATACGCACTATACACCGCGCTGGTGGACCTGGGAAGCCGCACGAGGTGTCTTTCAGGCATGTTGCCACTTCGCGGCGTCCCGGCAGTCTCTTGGAGCCTTCTGTGGGCAGCTTGGGCCCCGTTGGGAGCATCTTCGGCCCCGTCGGGGGCGTCTGCGGTAGCCGCGTAGGGCGTGGCATCGGGACATTGACGCACCGCGTGGCGCTATTGGAGCTGATTGGGGGCTCCCAGGAGCCGGTTCTGCGAGGTCCTCCGTGCGGAAGCGTCAGTTTGGAACTCATCGCCAGCGTCATCGGATCCCCCTGACTTCCAGAATCGACGACAGCAGGTGTGCCGTGGGGCCGCCCTCTTTGCGCCGCGGGTCAGGATGGCGTGAGCAGCACCCGCAGAGTTTTGAGGCGAGCATGTTGCATAGACGCGTGGCGCTGGCAGGTCGCTCCGCTTGTGGAGCAGATACGGTCCGCGCTAGACGTTGTGGGCGAGAACCTCGAGGGCGGCGGGGTGACAGCGCTTTTCATGGATGCAGGGGCGAGGAGTAAATTGGAAGGTCAGTGAGCAGCGACAGAACACCGCAGCGTGCAGCGCAGTCGTCTGCCAAATACGCAGTCAACGCGAGTTATTATGCCATGTGTTCCCATCCGTTCTAGTATGATGAAGTTTCTCACTTGTGGGACCCAGAGTGGTTCTCCCCTCGCTATGCAAGCTACCCCACAGTGCCCGAGAGGGGGAGTGGGGGACCCAATTGGGAATCCCCCTATCCCCCCTCGCCCTGCAACCCGCAAGCTGAGTTGACACAATGTTCGCCCCCCAAGACGCCCCAGCGCATCCGCCAGCCATCCGCGAGAGGCACCATACCGAAGCGACCGCGCCGGTGTGGGATCACACTGGGCCTCCTGCTCACACCAGCGCGCCTGCGCCTGGGGCCACCCGCAGGCGATCGCTGCACCAAAGGTGGGGGGGAGACCCGAGCTGGTCCTCCCCAGCCGCCCGCTCAATGCACCTGGGCCACCCGCCCGCGACCCCTCCCAGAGGGGTTGTGGGATCGAATTCGGCCACCCTCGGAAGCCGGGCAAGGGCTGCCAAATCCGCGGCTGCTAAAATCGACCTCCGGGAAGTTGTCTTCGTCCTTCCGGGAAGAAGCCCGTTGACTGTTTCGCGTGCCGCGCCTCATTCCGGGAAGTTGTTTTTTCCTTCCGGGAGGGCCGTTTTAGCAGCCACGGTTTTAGCAGCCCTCGCCCAGCTTCCGACACCCCCCTCCCGTGTCGACCCACTGCCCCAGTGCACTCGCACGCCGAGTCCTGGCACCTCTGCCCCCCCAGGGGTGCGGGAAGAGGGGCAGGCGGAGAAGCGCGCGAGCGAGGGAGCACGAGAACGCGAGGCATGGGCGCGACTGGCGCGGAAAGGGGGGGGCGGGAAGGGCGCGAAGGGCGGGGTGGGTGGTTCGGGAGCGGGAGACAGAGGCGAGGGGGGAGGGCGAGGATGCTGGGGAAGCCGATCTGCCCCCCCCCTTCGGCGAGAGGGACGTCCGCCCACCCCGGAGGTGACCCTGAACGACGTGCTGTTGGAGAGCCAGAGCAGCCCGTGCAAGGCCCTGCGCTGCCTGCTGGCCAACCTGCAGGCCCCCGCTGCCCCGGGGCGGGGGCGTGGGGCGGAGGGCCAGGAGGAGGACTCTGCCCAGACTTCCTCGCGCCGTGAAAGGAGCACGACGGGAGGTTCTCCTCCGTTTTCGGCCTCAGGGGGCCCTCGCCGGGCTTCGGGACCGTCCAAGAACGACTCGGGATGAAAAACCGGTCCCCGGGAAGGGGTCCAGGCTCTTGGGGGGTCACATCATGAAGAAATCACGACGCCGGGGGTCAGGGTAGGCCTCCGACGGGGTCGGAGTAGATGGGGTCAGAGGATCGCGCCGCATCGCCGATGCATCGCCGATGCATCACCGATGCGGCTCGATGGGAAGCCCGATGTGTTTCACGCCGACGTCGCCGATGCACCGCCGACGTCGACGATGCATCGGCGATGCGGCGCGATCCTCCGACCCCACCTACTCAGACCCCATCTCTGAGGACGAGAGAGGTCTGGGGAGGAGGGACGGCGCCGGTGGGCACCCAGGCGTCGCTGGTGCGGCGCCCCAGAAGCTGAGAGCCTCGCGGGCGGCGCTTCCCCAGGCCACCGCACCATGCACTCCACGCGTCCCAGTCATCGGCCAGCGTCGGGGCGGCTGCGCCCACGCGCACGGGTTTGCCAGGGTGCCAAGGCTGCGCTGCGCTCCTCGGGAGGAGGGCGAGGACGAGGACTAGGGCGAGGACGAGGGCGAGGACGAGGCGAATGAGTTGGCAGACGGTGGCCCCAGTGGAGGCCTCCGGACCCGCCTCCCTCCATCCCTCCCCCCTGCCTCCCTCTCCATGTCCCCTGCCCGTGTCCCTCCGTGACGGCATGCACGTACCCGTTACCACCTTGCAGAAATAGTTCTTGCGCCACGATGTGGCCTACCACAGAAGACAAATCGGGACAGGAGCACCGCCGTTGTAAGAGCTCGCGTCGGGCGCTCGCAGCGGAAAGGGGCCCCGACCTTCCACGGGGCCACGGAAACAACAAGTTGCCAAAAAAAGCGCTTGCTCACCCTGCACTGATAGCCCATCTGAACACCACCCTCCTCTCTCCCCTGAACATGCCCCGTCGTGGCCCCGCCTCCTCTCTGGCGCATCGCCTTGTCGCACGCAAGATGTCGCCGCACCGTTTGTTCTGACGCGCGGCCGCACGTCCGGAGGAGGGCGCTTCGGCCACCAGGGCAAACTCTGCCTCGAGCACAACGCTTGCTAGGGGGGGGGGCCGCGGCGCTGGCTGCGTCTCCTGGGGCGCGGGACGCGGGGCCTACCGTGTGGGCTTGCCGTGGTGGCGGCGTCGTCCACCTTGGGCGCATCGAGGACACACGGCGCTGCGACAGAGGTGGCTTCCATCATATTGATGAGTGTCCGAGTGGTCCTGGAGGAGGAGGAGGAGGAGGAGGAGGAGCAGCAGCAGGAGGAGCAGGAGGAGGGGGAGGAAGGGGAGGAGGAGGAGGAGGAGGAGGAGGAGCAGGAGGAGGGGGAGGACTGAGAGGGAGGAGGAGGAGGAGGGAGGAGGAGGAGGAGGATGAGAGAAGGAGGAGGAGGAGGAGGGGGGGGGAATGGGTGGAGGAGGTGGAGGAGGAGGAGGAGGAGGAGGCTTCCATCAGATTGATGAGTGTCCGAGCGGTCCCTATCCCTGCGCACGCGCGCGGCTGCAACGGAAACTCTCGGCCCAGGGGCGGGCACGCCGGTCGAGCGGCGCACTCCTCGGGCACGCGAGGCGGGGGCGCTGGTCGGGTAGGCGCCGCGGGCCTGCGTGTGGGGCGCTGCGGCTGGGCACGCGGATCGGGCTCGAACAGATTGGGAGCACCCTTCCCCGTGATCCGTTGGCGGCGAGCGAGGGGGGGGGAAAATGAGAAGCAAGGGGCCCTCTCAGAAGGCCGCGGGGCTTCTCAGAAGCCCTCGCTCCTTCTGAGAAGTGTTCTGCGTCTTCGGGGGAGGCTTGGGAAACTCCTCAGAAGGCCGGGGGACATTCTAACCCTTTGAGAAGGCCTTCTCTTTCTCGTTTCCCCCCTCGCTCGCCACCAAGATCGGGTTCGAACAGATTGGAAGCACCCTTCCCTGTTGTCCGCGTTGCGGGGGCATGTGTGTACACATACACGCATATTCGCTTAGACATGCTAGACTGCAGTGGCGCTTCGCGCCGTGCACCTGGGTTCCTGAAGTTTGGCATTCAGGCGGAAGGGCAGGAAGGTGGAGCAGAAAAATTAGCGATAGCTCATTGTTGCCTTTTTTTCAGACGTCGTCGTCATAATAATGTTATGTATGTTGTCCTTCTCTCGTGCTTCGTCTTCGTCTTTCTCATTCTTGCCCTACCCTTCGAATTCTTCCCTATCCTCCTCACCTCTGTTTGCGGAGGCTCCTCCTTGGATGGCCTTTCGGGGGCCTCACGAAAGTGTTTAAGGGCTTCTTGAGGCCTTCTGGGCCTCTGGGGCTGCCTCGGGCCACCCTGCTTCCAACCGCGGTCTCCCTGAACGACGGGGTCACCATCTGGAATGTCTAGGGGGGCGTTTGGGGGCCGCCTTGGGTCGTCATTGGACCCTCTTCGGGCCATATTGGGGTCCTGGTTGGTTGTCTTGAGGCCCGTCTTGGACTGCTTGGAATCCCTTTTCGGATAGTTTGGGGGGCGATTTGGGGCCTCCTGGGCGGTCTCGGACGCCCAGAAGACCAAAGACCAGAGCATTCTTAAAATCATACAACAACACATGGGAAATCAATGTTTCTGTGCGCGCGGGAGGTCTCTATCCGCGTGTGCGACTTCCCCATCGGAACACGATCTTGCTGCATGACGTTCCCGCTGCAGCGTTGGCCCGTCGTCGGGATCGGCGATGTGCTTCCGCTGCCGAAATTCAACAATTCGTTTGAGCTCTAATATTTTTTCCCGTGATATTCGATCTTATTCCCGCTCGCCATCTTGATCTCAGCTCGATCGGGTACCTTTTACTGCCAAAAAGCACTCCGGCGGGATCGGCCGTTTCGAGTCATCTTGATATGCGGCATCGGTTTTCTCACTCAGAATGGCGGGCCCATCACAGCCTGGGCCACACTTCTGGATCCGCATCCTCCTCGTCGTTGTCGCCCCCATCCCTGCCCCCTCCTCCGCCTCCCCTCGGTCATCCCGCTCCTCCTGCTCGCACTGCTGCTGCGCCTCCCCTTCCACATCCTCCTCGTGCTCCTGCTCCGACGGCGGCGAGGACGACAAACGACACGGCGAGGTAAGAAACGAATGCAGGGACGCGAACGACGACGACGACGACGACGACGACGACGACGACGACGACGACGACGACGACGACGACTCCAGTGTACATAGCTCCCCTTCCTGACCCCGCATCACACGAGGAGGTCAGTTGGGGGCTCAGCTCCGCTCGGACATCCGTCAGCGGACATATATATATATATAGAGAGAGAGAGAGAGAGAGAGACAAAACAAAAAAACGCTAGCGCAGTGGGACGGGATGGGCGTGAGGGGTAGAACAGCAGATATGGCGCGAGCGCACCCGGCTTGCCCTCCCCCTCTCTCCCCACTTCCTCCCCGTGGCTTGGGGGGGGGGCGGCGCTCATCCGCGCGGCCTCTGGGGAGCTCCGCCTCCACGCACCCCTGCGCAGGATGGGGGAGGACCGCCTGCGCTGCGGCCTGACCCTGCATGACCGACTCGACCTCAGCAGTGGCGCACTCCCGGATCCAGAAATGCTGCCCTGCGGCAGTAGCTCCGTTCCCGCCGAACTGAAGGATGGCCAGCGCCTTGCCGTCGAGAACGTGTCGACAAGAATCCGGAAACGCCTGCGGGTCTTCGCCGCGATCCTGTCCGCCGTGTCCATGGTGAGGTGCAGGGCATCGTCACCGTAAATGGTCTTGTTCAGGACGACGCTACATGCACGCAGGAGCAGGAGGAGGAGGAGGAGGAAGAGGAGGATGAGGAACGCTGCGTGCTCGAGCATCAGCTCCGATCAAGGTCAACAACAAAGCGGAGGAGGAGGAGGAGGAGGTAGGAGGAAGGAGGGGAGGAAGGAGGAGGCAAGACGGCAGAGAGAGAGAGAGAGAGCCTGGGGGCGGGCGAGGAGGGGAGCCTGGAGGAGGAGCGCCCGGCCGCTCCCCGGCCGCAACGGCGGCCCGCCTCGGCGCAGCCCCGAGACCGCAGAGGTGGTGCCACCAAGGGGGCGGCCCGCGACCTCGGCGGCCCTCGCGGAGCCCCGCCTCGGCCCACGGAGAGCCCTCCGCGGAGCCCTCGCGTCGGCCTGCGGAGGGCCCCCCCGGCAGCCCCTCGCCGAGGGCCCGCGAGGATGCTCACCGAGCGCGCTCCATTGAGCACTCGCGAAGGACCCACTTGCAGACGTGGGAAAAAAGCACGCGTTTGCATCGAGGTAGGATGCCGTCACTCCCCCGCGGCGGATCCAGGTCCTCTGCGAGCAGGCAGTTGCCTTGCGAGTCGTGCAACGCGCGCGTCGAGATTCAGCAGCGGGGGAGAGCTCGGTCCCGAGGGAAACGGGCCGTGTGCCCCGGGGCCCTCCCCCAGGAAGCCAGCTTTTTGTCCTATATCGAAGCCGTTCTCGGACAGCCCCGGTGCCCGTGGAGGGCCCCAAGGGCCTGAGAGCGGCGAAAGCGTGATAAAGTAAGAAACTCAAGTGTGATGTTAGAAGAAGAAAGAACGCCATACACATGAACTGTTGGCGCTCCGCGCGGATTTCTTGGATCCGCGCTGGGCCCCCCTTGCAGCGCCTCCGGCGCTGCCCCTGGCGCGCTCCGCGCGCCAGGAAGGGGCGTCCATCGCAGATCCAAGAAATCCACGCGGAGCGCCAACAGTTTATGGTTTGGGCGTTTTTTCTTTTCCTGGATATCACACTCGAATTGTTTATCACATTTGAGCCGAGCCTCGTTCTCTTCTCACACTCGAGAATTTGTATCGCACTCGAGCCAGGACCCGTGGCCCCCGCGGCGCGGGGAGGCGGCGCCGCCCCGCGGGCCATGGGCCATGGGGCCAGCCCCCCCCCCCCCCGGCGCCCCTGATGGGCCCATTTTCCACCACCCCTTACACAAGGTAGGAGAGAGAAAAAGATGAGGAGGAGGAGGCGGAGGAGGAGGGTAGAGGAGGAGGAGGGAGGAGGAGGAGGAGGAGGAGGAGGAGGAGGAGGAGAGGAGGAGGAGGAGGAGGAGGAGGAGGAGGAGGAGGAGGAGAGGAGGAGGGAGGGGAGGAGGAGGAGGAGGAGGAGGAGGAGGAGGAGGAGGAGGAGGAGGAGGAGGAGGAGGAGGAGGAGGAGGAGGAGGAGGAGGAGGAGGAGGAGGAGGAGGAGGAGGAGGAGGAGGAGGAGGAGGAGGAGGAGGAGGTGGAGGAGGAGGAGGAAGGGGAGGAGGAGGAAGGAAGGGGAGGAAGAGGAGGAGGAGGAGGAGGAGAAAGACAAGGAGGAGGAGGAGGAGGAGGAGGAGGAGGACCTTTTTATCCTCCCTTCTCCCCCGTCCTACATGCCCATGACTTTGTCCATGAGCCCCCCTCGAGGTCTGGGGCACCCTGGGCGACGGCCAGGACCTCTGCGCGCCGGCCCCGCCCTCCGCAGGCCCCGAGAGCTGCGCACCGAACCCTGCAGACCCCCTCGCGCTGTGAGAAAGTTGCGACGGGAAGTGTTTCGCGATGCTCCGCCTCCAGGGGCCCTCGCTGGGCCTCGGGACCGTCAAACACAGCAACTCAGGATGACAGGCCGGTCCCCGGGAAGGGGTCCAGGTCATGGAGAAGTCACGACGTCATGGAAAAGTCACGACGTCATGGAAAAGTCACGAAGTTCTGAGGGTCCTGCGTCGGGCCACTCTTTGCGTGCAGCCGAGAGCAGACGAGCCGAGGGCCGAGGCTTCGGGAGGGGAGGCTCGGGGCAGCGCGGAGGCGCCTGAAGAGTCGAGGGCCCAGGACCGAAATTCTGGAAGGGCGCGCCTCGAGCAGTGGCGATGCGTCCCGGCTTGCCGATAGGCCCACCAGAGAATGTCCTGAGAGCTTTTTTTGAGGGGGCCTGCACGAGATGTTCTCAGAACATGTATGGCTGAGACTGTCTTGTGTCAAGACACCAGTTTTATACTGGTTGTATGCGAAAGCCCTGGCTGAGGTCGCCTTAACTGCCATAAACAACAAAGTGGTTTAAAGCTAACAAGTCAATGTCAAAAGAAGACGTAGCATTCGTCTTATAACTATCGATCGGTAACCCACCATATGTCGTTTCAAGCGCCTTCCCCCCAGGCGATATCTCCCTACCTAGGCTCTGCCTAGAAGGGTTCTTACTCTCTATCCTCAAGGGGCCAGGCAGTGGGGCCCGCCCCGGGCGGTTCCCCCCGCATCCGCCCCGCGGTTCCCCCCAGTTACGTCCCCTTAGCTTAGCGTTGCTTATCTCATCTTAGTTTAGTTTTTTTTATATTAGCTTAGCTTAGCTTCATCTTAGCTCAGGTTTATCTTATCTTAGCTGACCTTCATCTTGGCTTCGCTGAGCTGTAGCATAGCAGAGCACAGCATCGCATAGCATAGCGCAGCATAGCATAGCATAACATAGCGCAGCACAGCATGTGTGTAATTCCCTACCTAGGCTCTACCCTACCTAGAAGGTTAGCTTGGCTTTGCTTCGCTCAGCTCAGCATAGCGCAGCGCTGCATTAGCATAGCATAGCATAGCACAACATAGCCAAGCATAGCATAACATAGCATATCACAGCATAGCATACCATTGTATAGCATAGCATAGCGTAGCATAGCATAGCGCAGCCTAGCATAGCATAGCATGTCATAGCATAGCATAGCGCAGCATAGCACAGCGCAGCATGGTATAGCATAGTTTAGCATCACATAGCATAGCAAAGCATAGCATAGCATAGCATGGCGCAGCATGGCATAGCATAACATGGCATATCATAGCATAGCATAGCATAGCATAGCATTGCAATTAATGCTGCTTTCCTAGGGGCTCCAACTTCTAGGTAGGGTCGCACTGGGGTAATTGATTATAAGAAATGTCGTGGTAGGCCTATAGGAATGCTGGGGACGGACGGCCCCTGCTCACAGCCCAGTTTTGCCAGCGCATTGGAATACGGAGCGGGCTTGGGTTTGGAAGAGGCTCGATGTTCTTTAAGTCAATCCATGGCTGTTCCTCTACGGTCGGACCGAGGTGCAAGATCGAGGTCGGTTCGGGGAGGGTACCCTAAAGTTAGTCATGTTTGCTGTATGTTCTTGAGCATCCGGGGGGGGGCTCGAGTGCTCTTCGGTTTGGCCGACCGAGGGCATCACGCTCCTGAAGGATGTTATTATGTCCTAGGTCTGGTCGTAGCCCTCCTCGTTCACGCAGGCGCTTCTGGGCCGAAGAGGGGCTTCGTTCCTAATTGATCGTTCCTGTGTTGAGCAGCCCGACTGTAGGCCTATCCAACAAGACACCAGTTTGCCAGCACGTGCCCCACGGAGGTGTTGCATCCTTCGATGGCCCCAAGGGATCCACAGAAGCTCTGGGGCACCTTAGGGCCCTAATATTCGCCCACCTCCCCATTCCAACCCACCCCCAGATCTCCCTCTGTCCTCCCCAGAGCTCCCCACCCTGCGGCCGCGCGCAATCTCAGGTCCTCCCTTCTCCTCCCCAGATCCTCCCCAGAGCTCCCTCCTCCCCAGAGCTCCCCCGTCCTCCCAGAGCTCCTCCCCCATCCTCCCCAGAGCTCCCCACCCTGCAGCGCCAGCCAAGGCCTGCGGCCGCGCTCGCGCGGGCCTCGTCCCCCCCCAAAGGGACCCCATGGATTCGCCCGCCGCCGCTCGGAGAAGAAGTACGGTAGGTTCATGCGGCGTTGGCGCGCTGGCGACGCCGGCGAAGGCGTTCAAGGTTGAATATTGCGACGCGGATGCACCGATGGACGATCGATTCAAGTTTAATTGATCGACGCATTGACAAACACCTTTGCGCGCGCCGACGCCGCACGAACCTGCCGCAGCTGCATGAGCATAGACTTTCAGAGGTCCGCGCGGATTTCTTGGATCGGCGTTGGGCACCCCCCCTCCCCATTCCCTCCCCCTTCCAACCCCCACCCTCCTCGAATTCTTTACGCTTCGCGTATCCCCACCAGCCCATCTCACAACAGCAACTCTTGCGAAGCATGCCGACAGTCGTGTTTTTCAGGCGTGTGTCCGCTTGGCCCCGCATATCTCCCCTGTTACTCCTTCCTCCCGCCTCCTTGTACATCCTCCTTGTGGGGGGAGCGGGAGAAGGACGAGGCGGAGGAGGAGGGAGAGAAAGCGCTCCTCGTGGTTTGAGTCGTTTGGGGTTTCTCGTCCTGGTGTGAGTCGTTCGGGCCCTTCTTCCTGGTGTGAGTCGTTCGGGCTCTTCGTGGTGTGAGTCGTTCGGGCTCTTCGTCCTGGTGTGAGTCGTTCGGGCTTCTCGTGGTGTGAGTTGTTCGGGCCCCTCGTCCTGGTGTGAGTCGTTCGGGCCCCTCCTCCTGGTGTGACTCGTTCGGGCTCCTCGTGGTGTGAGTCGTTCGGGGCCCTCGTCGTGGTGTGAGTCGTTCGGGCTCCTCGTGGTGTGAGTCGTTCGGGCGCCTCGTCCTGGTGTGAGTCGTTCGGGCCCCTCCTTCTGGTGTGAGTCGTTCGGGCTCTTCGTGGTGTGAGTCGTTCGGGCCCCTCGTCCTGGTGTGAGTCGTTCGGGCTCCTCGTGGCGTGAGGCGTTCGGGCACCTCGTCCCCTTTTGGGGCGTCTTGGGGGCCTCTTGGCGGCCCCAGGGGCTTCTAGGAGCGTCTTGGGTGCCTTGGGGGAGCCTCTTCGGGCCTCTTGGGAGCCTCTTGGAGGCCGTTTGGGGCGTCTTGGGGGCCTCTTGGCGGCCCCAGGGGCTTCCAGGAGCGTCTTGGGTGCCTCGGGGGAGCCTCTTGGGGCCTCTTGGGGGCCTCTTGGGGGCATCTTGGGGGCCTCTTGGAGGCCTCTTGGGAGCCTCCTGGGGGCCTCTTGGGGACATCTTGGGGCCTCTTGCGACCTCCTCAGAAGCGCAAATGAGCGCTGCCCCCTGAGAAGGACAACATGAGGCCAAAACCTTCGTAAAAGCAATGATTTTGCTATGAAGGAAGAGGAGCGCTGCCCCCGTAGAAGGCCAACATGTGGCCGAAACCGTAGTAAAATCATTGATTCTGGCTTCAAAGAAGAGGAGAGGGTTTTTTCTCTCCCCCCCCCGTCGGGGGCAGAATCCTCGTGAGGGGTGTCGTTTTTTTAGCCCTCCCAGGAGTCGAAAAGGCCCCCCCTGACCACCCGCGGAACCCCCTCTCCAGGTCCAGGGGGAGGGGGTAGGGGGAGGGGTAAACCCCTCCCCGAAGGGGAAGAAGGGGGGTTGAGAACAGAGAGAGCTCCCTAAACCACTCACGCCCAAAGGGCTGGTGGGATTTCCGACGGCTCGATATCGTGGCTCACGAGTGTTTGGTTCCGAGAGCAAGTGTCATTCAAAGCGTCCCGCCAGCCACTGCGAGGAAGAACAAGAAGATGAGGGACAGGAGGGGGAACAAGAGGAAGTAATGGAGGAGGATGGGGAGGCGGAGGAGGAGGAGGCGTCCTGGTGACATGCTGGGAGCGTCAACCAGTGGCCTTCTGCGCTTGCGAAGGACCTGTCGCCTCCTGTCCGCCCCCTCCCTTGGAGGCAGTTTCGAAGCCCTTGGGAAGCTGTTTGGGAGATTATGGGGGTTCGTCTGGGGTTCCTTCTGGGCCTCTTGGGAGCCTCTTAGGGCCCTCCTCGGCCGTCGTGGGCCCTCTCGGGCGCCTCTTGGGCCGTCCTGGGGCCATCCTGGGCTGGTGCGGGCGCCTCTGAGGCACCTCTTGGGGTGCCACCAGACCGTTTGCCCTGACCTCCCCGAACTGGCCAGACCAGGCCCCACGGGAGGGGTTTGGGAAGGGGAAAGAGTTTCACACGCCGAATGGACCCCAAAGTGCCAGCGATGTGTGTTCAATCTTGACGTTGTCCCTCGATTCTGGCCCGTGGGCCCCGTTATCCGGCCCCCGGATCATCAAAATGGGCTCGGTTGGCCCACATCCGCTCAAAATCAGTCCTCTGGACCCTCCCTGGAGTCCGTCCCCGACCCGTTTCTTGAGGCGAATCCAGCCGTGGCGACGAGAAGTTTCCAGGAGGCCTCAGGAGGATTCAGGAGGGGAAAAATGCACAGACACGATTGATCGTCGATTCCTAGGCAAAGATAGGAAAATCAGGGAAGTGGAGAGGAAGACGAAAAACAGTGAAGATTGGGAAGTATTGGAATCCTAGTACTTGTGTCTGTTTATGTGTGCGCCCTTGGGCAAGGATGAGACAATACAGGGTGGGTCGCACCGCCCCCTTCCCATCCCGACTTCTCTGACTGAGCGGTGCAAAAGCACCGCTCACTTCAAGGCCTGGTTGATCAGGCGCACTGCCATTCGCGGGTCGCTCGCATGAGCCATGGCCGCGGGGAAATGCCCTTCCCCCTCCCGCGTCGCTGTCAGGAGGGAAAAAAGCACGCAGACACAATTAATCGTCGATTCCCCAGAAGATATGTGAAAATATGGGAAGTGGGGGGAAAACGAAAACCCCAAAAATATGGGAAAAGATTTGACATATTTCTATGTGTGTGTATGTATTTGTGTGTCCTTGGGTCCCTGCACTATCGCAAGTTTCAAGGGGTGTTGTGTTGCTTCGTTTGATAGTATCTGCGCCCAGCCCTGCTCCCCGACAGGAGGCACAAGAGCTGGAACCTTATGGAGAGCCACCACCTCAAGCAATGTATGGGCTAGCCGCGCAGCCCAGTTGTCGTACTCTCGTACGTCCCCGTCTTTATTGTTCTGTCTCTCTCTCTCTCTCTCTCTCTCTCTCTATATATATATATATATGTATCCCTCTCTCTCTCTATCTCCCTCTCTCTCTCTTTCTCTCTTGATTTATGTATAGATCGCTCTCTCTCTCTCTCTCTCTCCCCCCCCCTTTCTCTTTGCAAAAATGTATACAGTCGGGAGCTTGTGCTTAGCGTGTCGCGCCGCTGTTTCTGGCCCACTGTGCCTCGCCGCGAGAGCCTGACCACGTCGCCGCTCCCCAGCACCAACTTTCCGAGTTTTCTCTGCCCTCACGATCCCTGGAGCAAGGCGACGCGCTATCTGTTTGCGAGGCATGGCGTGCCGTCGGGGCCGCCACCGCGATACGGCAAACTAAAGTTTCTGACTGCATTGCGTTCGGCCCATCGCGCCGCCGTGCGTGGGTTGTGGGTCAGAGTTCTCAGGGGTGCTTCTTCGGGTCTCTTCGGCGCGTTCTCAGGGGCATCTTGAGAGCAGTCCGGGGGCCTGTTCGGAGCCTCTCGGGGACCTCTTGGGAGCCTCTTGGGGCCTCTTGGGGGCCTCGTGGGGCCCATTGGGGGCGGGGTCCTTTTGTGGGCTTCTTGGGGCCTCCTGGGGGGCCCTCGGGGCCGAGGGCTCGAAATGTCCGCTCGGGTTTCCGTTCTGGGCCCTCACTTAGGGCCGTCTTTGGCCTCTCTTGGGCAGTCTTGGGTGCCTCTTGTGCCATCTTTGAGCCCTCTTGGGGCTCTCGCGGGGGCCTCTGGAGGCGATCTTGGGGGCCTCGTGGAGCGTCGTCGGGAAGCCGACAAGGCGAGAACGCTAAAATCTTTCAAAAACCGACGGAGAATCAATGATTTGTTCCTTGGGGGGCCGTTCGGAAGGCCTCTTGGAGGTCTCTTTGGACGTCTTGGCGGCCTCTCTCGGCCGTCTTAGGGCCGTCTTGAGCGTCTTGGACCGATCGTTCGGCGACTCGGGACCCTCTTAGGTCGTTTTTGGGGCCTCTTGGGGCCCTCTGGGCCCATCGCGGGGCCTTCTTAGGACCGAAACAGTCACGCGAGATTGAGTGTGATGACAATGTAACGGAAAGGAGGGAAGATGAGGGAGGAGAGGGGAGGTGAATTGGACGGAGTCTGCGCAAGTGTAAGTTTGGGTGCGATCAACGCTTCGACAGGTTGGCGTCACTCTTCACGGTCTTCGGATCTGAGAACAAGAGGCGGATGAGTGAGTGAGCGACGTGGAGGCATCCCGGTAATAACAAGAAACCCATCGTAGGATAGCAGAGAAAAAAGTTTGGGCCCGTTGGTGACGCCGGAAGAAAAAGCAACACGCTGGTGCACGTACACATACACGACGTGGGGCACTTCAGATAATGGCACCGCTTGCTTTGGCGCAGATCGCCGTCGGCGGAGGCCAGGCCGAAGTCCAGCGGAAGCAGAATGGCGGCGGGTCCGTTGGCGGAAGGTTGGCGGAAGGCGGCGAATGTAAAAGCACGAAGCCATTATTTCTGTACCGAAGCGTTTTAGAATCGGCCATGCCATGGCTGGTTTCGCGTCATTTCCTTGTAGGATGCCTTGACGTCTTCGTCGGTAGTGCGCCACGCATGGGGGAGGTCAACGGGGCCAACGCTGAAGCCTCGGGGTCCACCTGGGCCCCCTCAGCTGGTCCGACGGGCTGGGCCCAGGCCGCAAGAGGAATAGAAACGGAGGGGTAATGATTGGAGCAGCGGGTGCAGAGACGAGGGCGGAAGAGGCAGTGAGGGGTAGGGAGATGAGGCGGAGCTAGTAGACAGGAAGGGAGAGAGGAGTGGACAGAAGGAGGAAAAGACGATCTGGCGGAGTGCAGCAGAAGGTCGTCTGTTCAGGCCGTCGGTTGGCGAGCGCGACATTGAGCAGTTCTTGTCCAAGGACGGCAACGGCGACTTGGTTTCGTCAAGGATGGGGTCCTCGGGGAGGGCAAGGGCAGCAGGCGTCTCTTGACTCGCGCTCGCTCGAAGTGATGGGCCCACCTGCGTCGCACGCACCGACAAGCCAGCATGCACCGCCACAGCTGGTCTCTGGCCTGCCTTTACAGCGGATAGGGACACGACGTTCACTTTGTAACCGTTCCAGCGGGAGGGTGACCTTAGTGGCACGAGCTTCTCCAGAGGAGGTGTGAGCAGCTGGATTTCGCAAAGGGCACCCGGCGTGAAACGCGAAGGTGGCTGAACTCCCTAGCAGGTCGAGCGAAGTCGGCGCGATGAGAGTGCCTTTCCCCTGGGAGGGCGACCTCCTCGTGTCCAGACGATCCTCGATCGGTTCGGGGCGATTGATCATGTTTCTTCCTCCACCGCCTTCCTCTGTCCCTCTTCCTCCTCCTCCACCTCTTCCTCCTCTTCCTCCTCATCATCATCCCCATCATCATTGCCATAATTATCATCATCATCATCATCATCATCATCATCATCATCATCATCATCATCAGCAGCAGCAGCAGCAGCAGCAGCATCCTCATCCTCATCACCATCACCATTTACCGTCACCATCATCAGCATCATCAGCATCGTCGCCATCACTATCACCAGCACCACCATCATCGTCGTCGTCATCGTCATCATCATAATCAGCATCATTATCAGGATCAGCATCAACACAATAACCATCAACAACAGCAGCATCATCATCACAGCAGCAACATCCCTCCTCATTATTTACCCCTTCTCACCCTCGCCCTCCTCACCTTCGTCATCCCTCTTTTCTCCCTGAACTCCCTCTTCTCCTCCTTCTATGTTTCCCTCCCTCCCTCCATCATTCTTCCTCCTCTTCCCCCTCCGTGGAGGATGGAAGGGAGTGGATCCGCCTGGTCGGACCAGCCGCTCCAGATCGGGAATCGTGGTCGGGTTCGGATCCGCGCTGCCGAAGTGAACTACGGTGAGCTGGCGCCGCGTCGACGCGGCGCCGACCCCGGCGTGGGAGAGTTCAAGGTTGGTTGGGCGGGTGGTAACGGGGGGTGATCCCAATGAGGGGTGAAGAAAAGAAGGTCCTAAATGGGCCCATGTAGGGCCCCTGTGGGGCACCAGCTGGCTCCCAAAAGCGTGTAGAGGGCTCCTTTTAGACTCCTTTTCTTCACACCCCATGTGGGTCACCTCCTCCTCCTCCTCCTCCTCGTCCTCCTCCTCCTCCTTCTCGTCCTCCTCCTCCTCCTCCTCCTCCTCCTCCTCCTCCTCCTCCTCCTCCTCCTCCTCCTCCCCATTACCACCCGCCCGAGTTGGGCGCCGCTTGTGGGCCAACGGCCGACGTCGAACGAGCCGCGCTGCCCGGAGGCCATGGCCGCTCCTGGTGTGAGCGATCTCCACGCGCCGGCAGAGAGCGTCGCCGACGCCGTCGCAGCACGAGCCTGCCGCGTGCGTCTTGTGTGTTGCACACCCAGACCACATCGCGTTGTGTTGCACACCCAAACCACATCACGACGGGAAGTGTTTCGCTATCTTCGGCCTCCGGGGGCCCTCGTCGGGCCTCGGGACCGTCAAAAAACGACTCGGGAAAAAGAAGCCCGTCCTGGGGAAGGGGTCCAGACCTCTGGGGGTCGACGTCGCGAAGAAAAACACGGCGTCATGGGTCTGGGCACGGACGTACTGGCTCCGAGAGGGCGGCCGTCCGCACGTGCAGCGCGACCAGAGGCGAGACCGGCAGCGAGAGGGGCAAGGAAAGACAGCTTCTCGCAACCCGTGGGGGGGCGGGTCCCGAGGGACACGGGCCCCGAGGCGGGTTGCCGTTCTCGGCTCCCGTGGGCCCTCCACGGGCCCCGGGAGACCGGTCAGAGGACGGCTCAGGACGAAGAAGTCGTCTTGGGGCGACGGGCACGTCCTCCTGCAGGAGGAATTCTCAAGGATAGTCAAAAAATAGTCTGGGGACGATTTGCCTGTTTTGGTTTTTTTTGCATATTCTTGACTATCTTTAATCCTTCCTCCAAAATCCGCCTGTAGGGGGACATGCCCGACCTGACCCCAGGGTCCCGGACCCGCTTCCCTCAGGACCATTTCCCCCATTGCGTATAGAAAGCGTCACTTCGTTGCAGTTCGCAGCGGGGCGTGGCCGGGCCAGCTCAGCGGGGCGGCCCCTCGGAAGAGGCCGTCACTGGAACCGCGTCCCTCCCGGCAGGCCTGGAGCCGACGTGCCGACGACGACGACGACGACGACGACGACGACGACGACGACGACGACGACGACGACGACGGCAGGTCAAGTGATCGCGGGGAACCTGCGAAGTGGCCCAGGCGTGCCTCTGGCACGCTCCGCATTTTCCATTTTCCTTTGGCCACTTCGCAGGGTCCCGCTTCCGGTGTCCGACCTCGGAGCCGATTCGGCGATTGCCGACGTGAGCACCGATTCCAAGAGATTCGACGCGATTCCGATGTCGATCTTGCTTCGCGGTTTGTTCTTGGTTCTTAGTGGCCCTGGGCCAGCGGAGAGCGGCGGGATTTGCACGGCGCGGCGGCAACGCGTGCGGGGCAAGGGCAGAGGAGAGGCACGGATCATGGAAGCGCCTGACGCGCAGCAGCTGCGGGCAGAAAGCAGGGACCAGGAGGCAGAAAGGGTGGGATTGGCCCAGGAGGGGGGACATCGGCCATTTATTGCCGATGGCGGCTTGGGTGCCCCGCCCCTCCCGAGAACGCACATTGTCACCATAGGGGGCCTGCCGCCGATCTAACGGCGATGTGTCACCGTCACCATGTCGACGTTCCTCCCCCCCCTTGAGACAGCACCCCGCCTCGGCCCACCCCAGTGATCGTTTTTTTGATGTTGTTTTGCCGATCGGCGCGGGCCCCCCAACCCCCCTCCCCCCCCCCATGGAGGAGATCTTGGCTGCTTTTGGCGCCTGTTTCGAGCAGGTGGAGTCTCCCCTCATGGGACCCACTGCCGCAAAGAGTCGCACTGAGCAGAGGTCCAGAGCCAGGCCCCCCTCCCCCCCCTTCCGCCCAAATTGTCGAAACGCCGAGTGAAGAACGCTCACCCTAAGGGAAGTGGGAACGCTGGAGGCGCACCGAGGAGCTGGAGCTCGCGCTCGCCCCGGACATGCTGTCCTCGTACCACAGGCAACCCCGCGCGGCGCTGCTCTCCCCGGGTCTGTTCCCTGTCAAGCCGGACGCGCGCAGGCCACGACAACGCGCACGGCCATGGCTCACCACGCGCTACACTCACAGTTGGAGGGGGGAGGGGGTCCTCCTCCCCCTCTTCTTCTTCCTCCTCCTCATCCTCCACCTCCTTCCCCCCTCCAACTTATGGTGGTGGTGGTGGTGGAAAACAGGCCCATCACAATTGCTACCTTGGGGGCGTCCGTGAAGGAATGTGCCCAGGATGCTTCCGACCCTGGAGGGTTCCTTCTGTGATGACGGCGGTGGTGGCATCCGTGGCAATTGCGCGATTGGAGTTCCACCAGCTTCCAGGCCCTGGATTCCTTGTCCAGTGGTTCCTCATCCGATGCTCTCACCGTACCCACTTGCTGTAAGCGCGCGCCTTGCTGCACGCACAGCTGCCCAAAGGAGAATAACTTAAGGCACGGTACGGATACCCTTCCCTCGTTGTCGCTTATTGGGCCTCGGGGGAGCTCTCCCTCGTCGCTACAGCGGGATTCGCTTCGAAATGCGGGCCAATGCGCACACGGTAGAGGTCAGTGGCATAGGGGCATCGATATCTCATTATTCTCCCAGCTGCGTGCGTGTGGATTCCTAGGCGGGTCCATGCACCCAGTTTCAGTCGTGGCTGCACACAGGATTTTGAGAGCACGCTTGCATGAGCCATCCAACTTCACATGCAGCCATGCGCACGGCACAGGGCTGTTCGAATTTTCTCGAGGAATCGCTGCACGAGAAGAGAATCAGCACAGCAGACTTTCGATGTGTCGACGATCAGTTATGCATGATGAGGGCATCTTTATCCCCCCAACATACATTGCACTAAAAGGGTCTTGCTTCTGTCGCCAAGTAATGATTAACGCTTCGGGTATCCCCATCAGCCCACCCGGCAACGATGTTCAAGCGAATTGCGCTGATCAGGGAAATGTGAGAGCACGCAGTGGAACAAAGAGGGGGGCACCCGTCAAACCGAAGACCGGGATCTGTCAATCATACATAAGGGGCCCATGCCAAGAGACACCTTGCTTGCCTCCAGGGTGCCCTGGGTTTCTTGGGTTTCGATGGTGGAAGGCGTGACGTTCTCACACCAGAAAACGATGGACGTCCTGGGGTCTCAGGGTTGAGTTTCTTGTGGAAGGTTTCTTGTGGACTGGCCTCCACTCTAAATACTGTCGTGGACCTTTCGATATGGCAAGACTCTTGACAGCTTACATGTGCCATGTTAGGGCCCCGTTGGGGCTATCGGGGAGATCTCTTTTGGGGCTCTCGTGGGGCCTTCTTGGAGGCCCTCATGGGGCCATATTGGAGGACATCGATCAAAGGAGGGGAGGTCCTTAATTAGTCCCGCCCTTCTGGAGCCTTAAAAGACGCGTCCTGGGGTCCTCTTGGTGCGCTCTTGGGGCCATGTTGGGGCCCTTGGAGGCCCCTCCCGGGGCTCACGTGGGCCTTCTTGGGGCTACCTCGAGGCTGCAAGAGCCCATCGGAAGCGAAAAGGCGAAACGGCAACAAAAACACTGATCGCACATAAGTTCGGGAAAGAGTTGGGCCTCTTGGGGGTATCTTTGGAAGGTTACGCGGCCCCTCGGGGCCGTTTTTGGGGGGTCGTGGGGCCTCTTGGAGGCATCGTGGTGGCAATATGAAGCCGTCTGGGGATATCCCGTGCACTTTTGCAGGCCAGCCTGGGCTGCCTGAAGCTACCATGGAACCATTTTTGCCCAGAAGCCTCCCAAGGGATGCCCCCTAGTAGGGCTCGCTTAGATTCCTCCGATTCGATTCGATTCGACGTAGCCACTGTGGCTCAGAGACGAATCTGTGCCCTGGGGCTTGAACATGCGGCTGTCCACGGAGAGGCCCGAGGTGCCTTCTAGGAGCCGCGACACCGGCTGCACTTCTCCTTCCTTCCGCTTCCGTTCTCTCTCGCGTAGTTTCTGTCATGGCTGCGCGCGTGGAGCGCCGCACTGCTCGGCGAGGCCGATTTCGGTTCAGACGTTCTCGTCCGCCTCCCTCCTGCTCCCTCCCCATCCATGTCGAAGAGTCGCTCATTCCAGTCCCGCACGTCCTGTGACCTCCAACGTCCAGTCCCACATTGCTGAGATCGGGCAGAAGATTGCCAGCCTTTCTCGCCCGCCGTCCAAGGCGAGCACCAGGCAGACGATCCACGCCCCCAACATCGAGAACCAGCAGCATGGTATTACGAAGTGTGTGATGATTGGTTTTCCGAGGCGGATGATCGCCTCGACTCTACACGCTGTGGGAGAGGCTGCTCGCGCTTGCAAGCGAGCATCACTGTCAAGGCCTTTGACCTCACCAGAAAAGGTTCCCCTTCACTTTGAGACCGCTTCCGGCTCCAGCAAGTGAATGACATTGTTCGAGGCCAGCGGTGCATTACAAGTTCCAGATCCATGGGCAAATTCTCACTCAGAGTTCGGGTTCGCCTAGACATCGACATGAAGAGCAGACAAATGCTTCCGTGATGAGCAAGGTCCGCGCGATGATGTCCGACTTTCTTACGCCACGTGGTTTCACCGAGAACAGTGAAGGGGTGGGAGGTTGCGTGTAGGTCCTACGCAAGTCGGATGGCCCAGTCCCGCCCGCGCAGCTCCACAACACTCTCGACTGCTCGAAGGTACAGACGGTCCTCGAGGTGGACGCCCTTCGCGAGCTCGGCACTGACCAGCATGCCGATGCTCTCCGCGAGGCCGCCCGCACGCAGCTCCGCCAGCCCTTTTCGACGATGAGGGAGACTGCCTGTTACCCGAAGCGCATGGGCAGGCCTTGCGGCAAATGCTTTGCGTTTCGCTCACTTTGTCGGTTTAAAGCTTCATCGCACGATAGTGGTGATTACAGTTCCTCCCCCCGTCTCAACTATCTGAGCTGCTGCTTATCTGCACACGGAACATGCACGGCCTCTTCTCCTCTTTTTCGAAACTGCTTTTGGCGGGCCAGCGCGCTCTACCATCCCTTCCTATCTCTCTCTCTCTCTCTCTCTCCCTCTTTCTCCCATCTTCTGTGGTCAAGAAACTCACTGGCATGTCAGCGATATTGAGGAGCCCCGTCGCGAGCTGCATGGCCCCGCCCTGGGCACAGCTCGGCGTTTTTCTGTGCGAGGAATACTTGAAACAGGGTGGTGTCGTCACGGTATTGGGCCCTCTTTACTACCGTCTCTTGCCCAATATTGCCCACGCGGTTGTTTTTCGCTTGGAAGGATTCTTCCGACTACTTGCTCGGATCTTGAGGGGTAACTTCTGGCGGTGTAATCGCTGGCTTTGGACAACACTCTGGCGGTGTATTCGCCGGTTTTGAGCAGCTCGTGCACCGCGCGAAATTGCCCACGAACACCGCATAATGTTGGTGAGTTCTGTCCATGTTGCGCTAGAGGAGAACAGGGTGATAGGAGATGGCAGTGGGTGGATTCCAGGACGCAAGGCCCGCTTCAGGGACACAAGACCCACTTCCCGCACGCGAAAACACGCATCAGGAGTGCGATGCGCGGAGGGAGCACCGCGAAGCACCACTCGGCGATGCACGCTCCGGGGGTCTGGAGGCTCGACACGGCTTGGATGATCAGCCACGCCTTCTGGCGCTACCCGACACTTCAGCTCCAATGCGACATGGCCGGCTTTCGTTGTTCGGACGCTGCTGGTCTCTATTCTCTCGTCCGTCCTATCCAGATGCAGCTTCCAGATCAGGAGCCCCAAGGAGATGGGGGCCTCCTGGCTTCCGAGGCGACGAAAACGAATCTGAAGGCTGCTGTTCAGCGTTGTCAAGAGCTTTGGAGGTGCTCTCGAGGTTAAAAGTATTTGGCGTGCGCTAGTGACTCCTACGGGGACCCCGTGAGACGCCCGAGAGCTCTGCCCAGGCCCTCCGAGAATACGGGTCTCAAACCTTCGCCCCGCAGGTTCTCGATTGCTCTCCTTAGCCTGGGACCCCCGAACATATTCAAAAAGTTCTGAATCGGTTCCTGATGAGTTCCCACAGTGATGGTAGTTCACGCGCCCTGTGTTTTGGGAGCGCACGCGCCCGCGCCCTGCTCGGCGAGTTCCGGGCGCTGGGAGAGCGCTGTGTGATAGTTGCCCGTGGTTCTCTAGGGGCGAAGTTCGCCCCCTCTCCGCCTTCTGTGAGAAGTAGCGTCATGGCGTTCCACCCATGGGTTCCTGACCAACGTGACAGTGGCCCCGAGGCCCCGCGAGGCCCCAAAGACACCCGGCCTTTCAACATGCCCAACATTGATGTCAATTGTTGGTTGGCGCCATGTCCGCCCCTTTTGCAGAGAGCACGGCTAGGCTTGCACTCGCGGACCAGACCTGCGCTGAGCACTGGGGCATGCCCACAAACATCATTGGTGCCGAGGCGCGGTCTTTAGAGCAGCACGTGCTTGCGAATGAACAGGCCTGCTTGCTGCTCACCGACTTCTTCGCGGCTTTCCCGTCTTTGGCGATCCCCTGGCCCTTTTTCGTCTTTGGTCAGATGGGCATATGCCCAGAGGTCGTCGCCTGTCCTTTCTCACGCTCCAGGAGCAGCAGGCCACTGCGCTGCTGGGTGGGGGGAGGCACCAGTAGAAAGTGATGGCTAGTGGGGCGAAGCTAGCACTCCAAACCAGCATGCCCTAATTCACTTGTGCCGCCGATCAGTTTTTTTCGATGCGCCGACGTTCGGATGGCTGCGCAGACCAACCGCACTTGCGCAGATGCTGAAGAGCTCTGCAATTTGATTCGCAGCCTTTTTCTCTTCTCTGGGCCCGCTCTTCCACTCGCCCAACCGTCTTGAGAAGAGCGTGTGCGTCCGGCTGAACTAAAGGAACTGACCCTGAGCATTAGAAGCCTCGCCCCTTCGATACTGCGAACGTCTATACTTGCTTTCCGCTACGAACCAGGTGCAACCGCGCCTGTATCACTTCGCGGTTTCACAGTATCTCGCTCTCTGTCTTTCTCTCTTTTTCTCTCTCTCTCTCTCTCTCTATCTCTCTCTCTCTCTCTCTGTCCCTCGCGCGCGAGAGAGAGAGAGAGCAAACCATATCTTCAGAAAATGCGATTTCGCCGCGTCGAGGCCTGCTGCCTTGAAACTACGTAACAGAACTCCTACCTCGCCCTTTAGCAAGACGTTGGCCCTACCTACTCGTCTCCATGATGCGCATATTGCGGCGTGCTTCTGTATGTCGAAAATATTTGAGATCCAGGCCTCCAGGGCGCGCATTTGAATGATGACCTCGACTCAATGGAGGATGTTCGTTGTCCTCGGCTGGCCTCCTCTCCAGGTATTCGTTGGGACCTCTATTCAAGTCGTCTTCTTCCTTTCCTGAGACTCGCCCTGGCTCCTTCCCTTCCTCCTTCTTTCCATATCACCACTATCGGCGAATCCTCTGTGCGATAGGCTTGTGCCGATGCTTGTGTTGGTCGTCAGAATTGTCGTCGGCTTGCCATCCCACGCCCCCCCCGAGCAAGATTTCGAAGCCCATTTGGAAGGGTTTTGCGGCGTCGAAGACCGCCCCGCGGGAGCGCTCGTCGCCGCCGCCGAACGCCGTCGCCGTTGTCGCCGCCGACGATGCCCGGGGCACTTCGCGCGAAACGGCACCTGCGCCCCCCGTCTCTTTAATTCGTGCATGTCCTTGCGAAGGAGGGATGTACAAGAAAACTGAAAAAAATAGCTTGGTGACGATGTTTCGCATTTTGGGACATGTTTGATGATGTTGTGACTATTCAGCTGTTCTTCCAAAATCCGCCTGTACTTAGACATGCCCGACCTAGCCTTCCCTCGGGGCAGCAGAGCATCTCGGTGCGCGCGTCCTCGTCGACGGTGCCGCCGCCGGCGCCGCCAAGCGCCGACGCCGCTGTCGACGTCGACGATGCACGGAACAACCCGCGCAGAACGGCACGGGCGCCGACCGTCGCCCGAGGTCTTGGCGTTTCACTTTTTGCGAGCCGGGCGGTTTCGCTTGGTGTCGGGCCCCGAGGCCTTCACATATCGATCTACGTCGGAAAATGGCGCGGGAGGATGCGGCTCGGGGCCCCAATTGTGAGTTGTCGAGATGTCTTAACTTTTCGCGCCGTCGGATGTCAGAGCTTCGCTGGACATCACAGCATCCTTGGGGGCGCTCGTCGTCGTCGCCGCCGTTGGCACCGCCGCCGCCGTCGCCGTCAACGACAATGCACGGGGCACTTCTCGCGGAACGCCACGTGCGCTTGGGCCTCTTCGATGGGCACCAGAGCATCCCAGGGCGTGCGTCGTCGTCGCCGCCGCCACTGCCGTTGTCGCCGTCGGCGATGCACGGGGCAACCCCTACCACAACTCCTTGTGAAACATCCTGACGGCAGATGTTTTTTTGGCGGCCTTCGGCCTTTGAGGCCCCTCGCCAGGCCGCGGGGCCGTCGACGTAAGCGGCTCGGGGGGTCTGAAACGCCGGCTTTGGTGAACAAGTCCATACGACCTCCAGGGAGCCACGCTGCGAAAAAGACACGACGGCGGAGGCTTGGCACCTCGTGCGGAACGGCACGTGCGGCTCCCCTCTTTCTGGGCATCAGAGTATCCCTGGGGGCTCTCGCCGTCGACGTTGCCGCGCTGGCGCCGCCAACCGCTGACGCCGCCGTCGTCGTCGACGATGCCCAGGGTACCTCGCGCGGGACGGCACGTGCGCCTGGGCTTCTTGCCGGGCGTGCACCGCGGAGCGCGCGCTTCGCGCACGCGCCTCGCGCACGCGCGCGCGCGCCGCCGCCGCCGCGGGCCCGACCAGGCGACTCGCCCGGGTGCGCGTGGCGCAGGTGCGGCGCGAGATCAGGTGGCGGCGGGGCGGGGCGGCGGGCGCACCGGCCTCGGGGCTCGCGGCTCGGCTCGCGCAGGGGGCCTGCTGCCCAAGAGTGAGGCCGAGACGCGTTCGTGCCACAGGAGGGCGAGGTCTCCCAGATGGGGTCCGAGGTGGCGTTCCAGCAGCTGCGCCTCGCCGCGGGCGTTCGGGGGATGCCCGGATCGTCCCGAACGGCCGCCGCAGAGCCGAGCTGTGGCCCGCCAACCAGGCATCGGCGTCGGCGACTGCAGACGGTGTGGCTGCGCTGGGGTATGGTTTGCGATCTGTGTCGTTTGGGCCTTTGGGGGGCACGACACTGTCCTTGTCGGGCCTCCTCGGGCCGCAGCGCGGAGCTCTGTCGAGGTCCTCGCCCGTCCCCAAGGGTGCCCCCCAGGGTGCCAGTTGCAAGCCACACCCTTTACAAACCACGCCCTTCGGAGCCGTGGGGTCGGAGGGCCGCGACGCATCACCGACGCATCAGCGATTCGGCCCGATGCGGAGCTCGATGTTCGCCACGCCGACAGCGGCGATGCGTCGCGTTTCTCCGACCCCGTCTACTCGAACCCCATGTGAGATGCCTCTGAAAACATCGGGGCGGGGACGGGGGAGGCGGGGGCGCGGCCGTTTGCGGCCTTCGGGGGCACTCGTCCTGTCCCGGGACAAACAGAATCTACATGCCCCGGGTGAGAAACGCGAAATGGTCGGGCCTTCGGGGGACGCACCGAACAAATCAAAGCATCGGATACGTAGGGCCACACCGAAGACGATGCTCAGCCCTCGTCTCCGCCTCTCTCGGGGCTCTTGGGAGGGGGGGGTGTTCTCGTCACCGCGGCTGGACTCGCCACGCAGTTCTATTCAGAGCACCTTGGGAGAGGTTCAGGCTGCAGCGGTGTCTCTATGTCTGCTCCCCCCAGAGTGACGCGGAGCCTTCTCCTCATCATCCTTTGCTTGCCTGATCCCTTGCCCCCTCCCTCCCCAGTCTCCCTCCCCCCCTCCCTTCTCATCCCCCTTCGCTCGCCCCCGCACTCTCCCTTCCCTCGGCCCCCTCCCCCATCCTCGGCCACCTCCGCCCACCCCTTCCCCTTCTTTCAAACAGGGGAAGGGCGGCAAGTGAGCGGATCGCCCTCCCGGCCCTGCCACCTTCAGATCAGACGTTGCGAACAAAATCCGACATTGCGCAAAATCACCACTGGAGCCCCGGACCCACTCGTTCTGTGTCGTTTTTCGCGCCGGATCGCTCCGCGAGGGCCCCGGGCCCCGTCACCCGGTGAAAGCACCCGGCGTGAGAAAATCGCAGCGCCCGGCTCCCAGGAAGAGGGCGGCCACGCGGGTGGCGGATGCTCTCGGTGAACGCGTTCCTTTCTTCCAGAGGCCGTTCGGAACGATGTTCCTTCCTCCTTTCCTTTCCCCCGGCGCCGAGGCGCCGCCAGGGGAGCCCAGCGCAGATCCAAGAAATCCGCGCGGAGCGCCAAAAGTTTAGGTTTGTGCCGTTCTTCCTCTGTGGATTGCACGCATTCGTCCGGGAGCCTCGCCGAAGGCATGGACCATCGGCGCCCCGTTGCTCTCCCCTGGGAGAGTGGTCCCCCCCTCGTCGCCCCCGGAGAGAGGGGGGCGCGCGTCGCGCACCGGCGGGCGCGCGGGGCGCGAAGTTGGCCGACTGGGGGGGGGGGAGCGAAGTGGAGGCACGGGGCGGCAGCGACGAGAGAGCACCCCGAGGTCCTCCTCCCTCCTGCTCCTCCCTCCTCCTGCTCCTCCCCTCCTCCTCCCCTCCTCCCTCCTCCTCCCCCTCCTTCCTCCTCCTCCTCCTCCTTCCTCCTCCTCCCTCCTCCTCCTCCTCCTCCTCCTCCTCCTCCTCCTCCTCCTTCCTCCTCCTCCTCCTCCTCCTCCTCCTCCTCCTCTCCTCCTCCTCCTCCTGGCGCCGCCATTGCTTTCGAGCTGGGCGCTCCCGCGTGAAATTTGGGGCCCTGGGCCCCTCACAGATCGACTTGGCGCGGACAGTGCCGTGGAAAGAAGAGGGTCCAGGGCTCCTGCCCAGTTTTTGGCGATGCTGCCGTGGTTTCGCAACTTCGGATCTGGGGCGAGGGGCAACGATGGGGGGGGCATAGGCATAGGGGTGGACGCATCGACCCCCGAATCGCCCATGGATCGACGCTGCAAGGGGCCCGATGGCCCCAACCCGCCCAGGAACGTCTGGACTCACTCTCGGGGGCCTATCGCCGATCTATCGGCGATGAAGCGCCGATTCCAGGTCGGTGTCCCCACCCCCTGCGCCAGTACCCCCCCTTCTCGTTGCCTCTCGGAGGGGGGGAGGGGGGGGGAAACGCCCTCGGGCACGCCCTCGCGCGCCTGCGGCGCGCGGGTGTCCCCGTGGGTGATCGGTCGAAGGCACCGAGGCGTGCGATGGTCTCCCTTCTTTTTTTTGCGCGTGCGGGGCCCAGATCACGTGCGTGTTCCACGGCTGAAACATGACTGTCAGCTCGCTCAAAGCGGAATAAAACCGAACCGCATGCCCCGGATAATACAGCGTACCCCCCTCTCCACGATCTTCGTGGTGATCCCCGGCCAAGACAGTTTTGGTCAGCGCGCGGTGGGGAGCGGCGGGGCCGAATTTCATCATCGTGGTGGGAAGTATGTTTGTAGATCGAGTATTCCTGCCATGGCTATCACGATGATCATCATCAGCAGCATCATAATCGTTCGTCAGCATCATCAGCATCAGCATCATCATCGTCATCATCATCAGCATCATCGTCATACCATGGTGACTATCATCAAAGTGTTACCATGGTTATCATAGTGCCATGCTCAGTGTCATGCTTATCCTGGTATCTTTATGCCATGAGACACCCCGTGCATCCGTACACTCTCAAAGATTCCGTTCGCTCCTCCTCCACCTCCTCCCCCTCCTCCTCCTCCTCCTCCTCCGCCTCCTCCTCCTCCTCCTCCTCCTCCTCCTCCTTCATGTTGTGACCTGTCCGGAAAAGTCTGTTCTCCCGCAGGAGCCCCGAATTTGCCTATCCCCACCCTGTGAGCATCGGGGACACAGGGTTTCCCCCCTCTGCGCGCCGCCATGCCAGGGCGCCGGCCGCGGCAGCGCCGATCGCCGGCGGTCGGCGGCGGCGGCCGCGGCAGCGGCGGCCGGCGGCCGGCGGCCAGGCGGCGGCTGAGGGCGCTGCGTCACGCCTTCGCGCACCTGGGGCTCGCGGGCGGCAGCGCGGAGGCCGGCGGGCCTGGCCGGGGTCTCCCAGGGCTCCGTGGCGTCGGCCAGCAGGAGGAGGCGGAGGAGGAGGAGGGGGAGGGGGAGGAGGGGGGGGGGGGAGGAGGGGGAGGGGGGAGGGGGAGGAGGGGGAGGAGGGGGAGGAAGGGGAGGAGGAGGGGTAGGAGGGGGAGAAGGGGGAGGAGGGGAGTACAGGAGGAGGAGAGGGAGGAAGAGGAGGAGGAGGAGGAGGACGAGGAGGAAGAGGAAGAGGAGGAGGAGTGGGGGGAGGGGGAGGGGGAAGGCGGAAGGGGAGGAGGAGGAGGAGGAGGAGGTGGAGGAGGAGTTGGTTATGGTGGAGGACGAGGACCAGTGCAAACCCAATACGCCTCAACGACGCTACAACAAAAAGACTTCCCTCCAAGTTCCCTTTTCAAAGGTCCATACAACAAGTATTCCCGTTGCGGGAAGCGCCCCATTGAAAAACAAGTGTCTGACAGTTTTCAACCGTGCTAAAACACCATCCCTGGAATTGCAACGCCCCGAATCAACGTGATTGTTGCATACTGACTCTGCAAGATTGTGCCGGAACACCGTCCCTAAGGCTTCAACGTCGCGAATGCATGTCATATGATTGCTGCGTCCTGCCAATCCTAAACCGTGCCAGAACACCATTTCTGGGACTTCAACCTTGCGAATTCTTGGAACCGCTGGAAACTAAAACGAACGCGCACGGTGCGAAAGCGAGAGCCACAGTTTGAAAAGGAACTTCCCTCCATCCTTGAAGTTGCTGAAAAAATAGCACGAATGTGCGCGGCGTGAATGCGAGAGCCACATGTTGAACAGGACATGCCCTCCATCTGTTGCAAACTCCTGAGACGACTGAGCGCGGCGTGAAGGCGAGAACCACATTCCCTAAGCAATGGTTGCACTCATGGTGTTTTTTGAATTTGCTTTCTGAGCAACTGCGACTGCGCGCAGTCTGGTGGCTATGTAGCCGCCGTCGTCGCCCCGTCGCCGTCTCGTCGCCGCCTGTCGCTTGGGCCTGCGCGGCGGTCTAGCCGCCATGTCGCCGCCTCGTCGCCGCCCGTCGCCTGGGCCTGCGGGCCGCTCTGGCCGCCACGTCGCCGCCTCGTCACTGCCTGTCGCCTGGGCATGCGGGCCGCTCTGGCCGCCATGTCGCCGCATCGTCGCCGCCGTCGCTTTGCATTGCATTGCTTGGCATTGCTCTGCATTGGTTTGTATTGCTGCTCACAGGTTGCATTGATTTGCGCTACTTCGCGTTGCAATCCATTGGTTTGCAGTGTTTCCTTTGCGTTGCTTTCCTTTGCGTTGCTTGGCACTGGCGTGCATTGATTTGCACTGGTTTGAATACACCACATAGCTTACATCATGTCTATTGCACCTCGTAGATTGCTCCGGACATTTTGCACCACAGCAGGAGGAGGAGGAGAAGGAGAAACAAGATGAGGTGGAGGAGGAGGACGAGGAGGAGAAGCGGCTGGGTGCGGGGTGCTGCGCGGCAAGGGGCGGCCCAGTCTGGCGGCGCACGCGCGCCGGCGGACACGCGCGAGGCGGACAGGTGCGCAGGACGCCCAGGAGCCCAGGGCGCGCGACTACCAGGTCTTGCCAGTGCCTGCCGCACTCCCGTGCAACGGACAGTAGAGGCCCCCGCCGGCAGCCCCTCCGATGCATCGACGATGCAGCTCGATGTGGAGCCCGATTTTCTCCACGCCGACGGCGCCGATGCATCGCCGACGGCGCCGATGCATCGCCGACGTCGCCGATGCATCGCCGACGCGTCGGCGATGGATCGCCGATGTATTGCCGATGCGGCGTGATCCTTCGACCCCAGCTACTCGGACCCCATCCAGGAGGCCTCTATGGGAATGCCGACGTCTGAGACGGCCGGCCACCCCCAGGAGAGCCGTTTTCTGTGATGGGTGGCGGGGTGTCTGGCAGCTTCCGACCACAGAGGTCTGCGACGCGAGGGAGAAACGCTTTCGCCGCCAGAGGAAGAGCAGGAGAAGGAGGATGGGAAGGAGGGGGAGGAGGAGGAGGAGGAGGAGGAGGAGGAG